TCTACCGGGGCCACCCTCTTGCCAACAGCCACTCTCCACCCCTATGTACAACAGCAAGCAAGTCGTGGCATCCCGAACACCATGGCAGTTCCCATCTCAGACCTTTCATTACGTTCCCCCAGTCGATACACCTGCCCACTTCCCGACGATCACAACCCCCTCGTACATACGCGATTTGTCCACCACAACGGTTGCTGGCTTCAGGCCCACAATGGTGCAAGTTGGCATGGAGGGGAGTGGTAGCCGCAGATCCGTGATGGTAGGCTCAGTGGGGGCATTGATGGTTGAGATGCTGGTAGATACGGGAGCATCGGTGACTTATATCCCTGCACGTTTTTGATATGCTTCCCCACAGGGCCCAACAGTGCGCCCTGTACAAATCGTTCTATGTAGCAGCAAATGGTGGGAGCATCGCGATTTTGGGACAGAGACCCAAATTTGTGTGGGTGAACTGGTCATATAAGGCTCTGTACTCATCTCCAGCACGTTGACGGTTCCCTGTTTGCTGGGGACAGACTATTTGAATCAACTCCCTATCAAGATTGTAATGGACCAGGGGTGCATTGAAATGCCATCGGGGGAACGTCTCTGTTTTTTACGCCCGGACGATACCTGGACGTCAGCTCAGGTGCAGGCAGTCGTGAATGAGATGCTCACGGTGCCCCCAGCAGCACAAATATTAATTCCCCTTGGATATCGCACACATCTGTGACGGCTCGACCAGACACACCTGTATTGGTATCACCGGTGATGGCGATCAAGGATCGACAAGCCGTAGCAGGAGAGGACACCATCCTATGTCGCCACCAAAAATTGTTTATTCAGGGTTTTAACACGGCAAACACACCTGTGACAATACATCGGGGAACGGTTTGGCACATGTGCAGCCCATGCCAGCAGGGGGCGGAGAAGTGCAAGCTGGAATAAGGGCGCATGAAACTGATCCTGCGAGCGAGGAGGCTATGCCCTGGCTAGAAACTATGGCAGCACAGGATGCTAACTTGTCCGAGCAACAACGTCAGGCCCTTCTGGCATTTTTACAAGACTTTGAGGACATTTTTAGTAAGGAACCGTACAATTAAGGTTGCACTGATTTAATGTCACATCACATAGAGATGGGAAACGCGCCGCCTATCTGCTAAAATGAATATCGCATGGGGGCCAGTCGAGAAAGCTCACATACAAAGGGTGATCGACAAGATGTTAAGGGTCGATATTATCTCGCCATTTACGAGCCCATGGAGGGCCCCTATTGTCCTGGTCAAAAGGCCAAATGGTTCATTGCGGTTTTGCATTGACTTCTGTGGACTAAATAAGATCACAATGGAAGACGCTTATCTGCTACCACGGATTGACATTTCCTTGGATGCCTTTACGGGAGCCAAATACTTTTCTACATTGGACCTATCATCGGGATTTTGGCAGCTACCGCTGGATGAGAATTAAAAATACAAATCCCTCTTTAGGACACTGCAGGGGTTATTTTAATGTAACTGTCTCCCCATGCGATTACAAACGGCACCAGCCACATTCCAACAGCTCATGGAGTTGGTACTGACGGGACTCCAATGAGACATTTGCATGATATATTTGGATGACGTAATTGTGTTCAAACGATCCTTTCAGGAACACCGGTTGAGGCTGGTTTTTTCACATACAAGGGAAGCACATTTAAAACTCAAATCTTCGAAATTCCACCTCACACACCCTTCCGTCAGATATTTAGGTCACATAGCACAACGGGGGTAGCGGAAACCGCCAGCACACCCTGTCAAAGTTTCCCTATAATCAATCGAGGTTTCGCGAGTCAATGAGTTGGTGGCCCTTGATATATTGCGACCCCTGCCTCGTACCAACAGAAGTCACAGATATCTGCCAGTAGGTGTCGAGTTTTTCACGCGATGGCCGGTAAATTGGCCCCTGGTGAATAAAACTGCCCAGTCAGTAGCAGATGCTTTTATTGAAGCATATGTTATGGACAAAGGTGTCCCTGAAAAACTTATAACGGACCAGGGTTGAAATTTTTCTTTGAAACTGCTGCAACATCCTAGGCACTAAGAAAGTGCGCACTTCTCCATACCACCTACAAACCGATGGGATGGTGGAACGACTAAATCGCACCACCACTTCCATGCTATGTCAGGTGGTCAAAGGGACACAGAGGTACCTGGATTTACACATATGCGGGGGTCCTGGCGGCATACCGGTTATCCCCGCATGCGTCAATGGGATATACTCCATTTTATTTGATGTATAGTAGGGAGCCAGACCCTCCCATTGAGCGCCAGCTTTTTGACCTCCTAGCTGGGGCTGCAAAATGGCAAATAGCGGTGCATCGGGTCATGCAGCAGTGGGAGATGGTGAGGGAGGAGGCACAAGCTGCGGCGGCTTTCGCCTGTTCCACAAATGAATGGGCTAGGCAAAACGGAGTGACACCCCTTCCCTTCAAAGTGGGAGAGTGCGTGGCTGCACTGCCCACAGGTCCCCTTGGGGACCTCGCCCAAATTGTATCGTCCATGGCAGAGCCCTGTAAAGGTGGTGGAAATTCTCATGCCCCAATGGGTCCAATTGGGACACTGACTGTCTCGGCCTTGCTGTGCGCTGTGTTGCACCACTATCCGAGTATTTACCTCGCATTCAATAAACTTTCAGAGCCAGGGTGAACATCTGACTCCAACGTATTTAATTAATTGAACGAGGTAAAACTGATGGAAAAACACAGCACAAAATACAGTATATGTTAATACTTTCAATATTGATACAATGAATGATCACAAGGAGAATAATAGCATTGTCTTAGATAACATGAAACTCAACAATAGGTCCTGGATGGACCAGGCACCCACATTATAGCTACACAAGAAAATAAGCTACTGTGTTAAATAAGGTCACATCGTGTAATCACCATACTGCAGCCTAAATGTGCAATGCTGCACATAACACTGAACTGTGTATGAGATACTTCTTCATCCTTGCTCTCAAGATCGCATTAAAGTTACATGGGTACAAGTCTGGCTCAACTTATCCAACTACAAGTAACATTCACAATAATGCAAGTGGCAGGCTTCGTTGTTAACTAGGCCTCATATTTATCATAACAATTTAACAGCATTATAAAGGCATTTACAGCATTATAATGGCAATCCTAACATAACATCAATCCCAGTATTATAACATAAACGAACTTACAGCCGCTTCTTAAAGTCCCACAATGAGTAGATGAACCTGTCTTCACTGAGACGCTATTTGTGCCTCCATTTTGTACTCTGTGTAATGGCTGACACCCTGCCTCATGGCTTAGAGATTCTTAAATCGTAACTTCCTGGTCACGTGACCAATCTCAACACCATATCAGGAAGTTCCTGTGTAATCAACACCCCCATACCTGCCATGGCGCAGAACACCGACGATGGTATGTACACCTCGCCTGTCTTAAGCTGGACTGGTCGAAGCCTACCACGGATGTGCCACTACACTCGGAAGAGCACCCACTACACACACGAAAACCGGGTTGCCACGATCACCTACACCTTCACCCCTTCACTCACCATCATCACTACTGAGGTCAGGGAAGTCACTTGCTGCGACGAACCAACCTCAAAAAGGATGCCTTCCTTTCCCAGGATCGTCCGTGACCAAGGAGGTGCAGTAGAATCCGACGGAGCCGCAACTACACAGCCCGGTTACCTGGGCACGGTCCCGGGTGATGCTTCCACAGTGATAGACAACCACTGCATGCAAGACCACGGGACCGGGGATAAAAATTACACTGTCGTTCTTTCACGCCGGAGGTTGTTCGTCAGTTGTTCACATGTTACGGTTGGAAGGTCCGATTGACTCCTTGTATCTACCGTCTTGTCTTACGATTATTCGTTTGTTGATGTCTTAAATTATCTTCTGTATAGCCATGCATTCCACATCTACATACACAAAGTGACAGGACTCTGGTTGAGTTCGAAATTGCTTGTTTATTGACGAAAATACTTTTTTTTTCTCCTCTACCATCAGGGTTACCCCGAATCCCTTGGATTTGTACGGGTTATGTTTAGTCGAGGACGACTTTCTCTTCAGAGGGGGGGGGGGGGGGTGATGTAGTGCTAATACTTACGTGATCCGAGGGTAGATATACTCTCGTGATCCAAGGTTACAGTGTCAGCATGACGCCACGATGAAAAGGAGAGAGAAGGCAGGGCGAGAGACAGAGAGAACGCCCAGAGAGAGAGAGAGGTGACATCACCGGGAGAGGCCGGGCAATTGGGGCGCTTCTTGGAGGGACTCGGAGTAGGGTGGACGCGTGCGGCGTGAGTTCGCGGGAAATTAAGAAAAGTGTGGGCCTTTTGACTTTGTCTGGTGAACTCACTACACCGGGTAATGTTTGTATTTTAATGTATCGTCACTCAATGTTTAATTTGTTTAAATAGAAAATGTCATAGCGGTGGAGGTTTAAGACGTCTTTGTAGCTGGTTGCTTTGTGTCACCGATGAAGTCAATGTTTCCCATCTTTAGAAGTTCACCAGAATAAATAAAGTCCAACAAAATGCAATTTAAAATATTTGCATCTATTTTATGTGACCAAAAAATAGTATATAGACAGTTACGATTATGTGATATTCATGTACGAAGATGAATGTTTACGTTTTTACAATAAAGCTTATTTTCTCTCAACGTGCATTCAAACTTAACTACAGTGTGAAGAATAATTAATACACTCGCTAAGAACCATATTTTTCTCTTCCTATTTGTATTATTTTCAGCACATTAGCAATTAGATTGGTTGCATTGAAATGTATTCCACTCCTATCAGTTAATCGTTTAAAGTAAAATATGGTGATTTGTTATGCTTACAAAATAGTGTTTTTGAAGCAATGTTCGCTGAGACATTCTCAGCTCTGCACTGTGAGCATATCAAATTACCACAATAATAGAATAATTTCCTTCCAAAGACAACCAGGGGGAAATTATGTTACATGACACCACATGGGCATTTTCCTTCTTGGTAGGAGCACGGCACAAGGCGACGCTCGAGGGCAAGGATGTGAGGGCTTCAGGAAGACCTTTTCTGCGCCACATGGGCCGAAACAAAGCAGCTAAGGCAACCAGCAGCATGTCGGGCACCCCCACCAAGAACTTCCAGTGCCAGCTCTGCGATGTAAAGGTCAACTCGGAGGTGCAATTGCAGCAGGTGACCGCCTGTAAGGATGTGTGCATTCATCCAGCGTGGGTATCAGTGGCGCAATGGTATGCATGCTGTGCTAGCATTCTGGGTACCTGGGTTCAATTCCCCGCCATTAGTTACTACAAGTTACATACCAGTGATGCTCGCACACGTCACCCTCTTGCGTTATCCTAGCCTTAGTCCAGTCATCCATCGGTGTCAGCTCTGGGTTCGGATGTCACTGGTAAATGAGTGGACCCAGCTTAATATGCTCCCCATGTTGAGCTGGGTTTACTCCTTAATGTTATCCCACCACCACCATTACATCCATCTTTGTCTTCCTCTTGGCCTTCTACCTTCAAATTTCCAAAAGAGGATAAAGTGTGGCAGTCGGGCTCCCTGTGAGCCTCGCACTACATGGCCGCAATATGCCAACCTCCTCTGGCTGACTTAGTCCAGCATTGTTCTTTAGCAACATCCCATTTTGGATGAGTACGGTTGGCAAAGTACCATGCGAAAGATATTAAAAATACATACATTCCTTGTTATTTTTTCATCCATTCTACGCTTATCATCCGCAGCCTGAGTTGGTGTTCACAAACAGCACTTGCCCCAATCGTCTGTACAGATTTATTCTGGATGCTTGTCATTTTTTTCATCAATTGTTTCTGCATAATGTGCCATCGGTGTGTTGCTGTCATGTTTGAAGATTGTAAAACTACTCACATACTCATAAACACTGCACTCTCTGGGAACACAGAGCCAAATACCCAGCATAATACTGCAATGAACAATAAAATGTAGATAATAATGATCCAAACAATGTGTGATCATTATTCCAATAATATTCATCATACAATTTAATAAAGTAAACTTAACTTTTATTATTATTGTATAGCTATGCCTGGTGTTCATTCAGAACTATTACGTGAAATTATGTGAGCACTGAATTAATTTACATTGAGGCGATTGTTTTAATTTTTCTTAAGAGATAAACTATGTTGTTATTTTTTGGAGAATAAATTATTGTTATATTCATTTCAAACACGATGAAATGTAACCGTTAAGGACTTATAACCAAATAAAACCAAACATGTGCTTATTATAATTGCCTTGCATATTAACCATTCGGTGCGTTTCTGCATTTGAAAACATAACCTTTTTATTTAATTTGCCTGCAGTCTCCGCTGCATTGTTTGGTTTGTAGCGGTGTTATGCTGCGTGTCTTTTCTCCCGCAGCACATAAAGAGTCGAAAGCATAAGGACAAGCTGACGGGAAAGGCTTCCAAATCCAAATTTTGTCCATACAACAAAGCTCAGCGTGCAAGTAACAGGAGTTCGTTGCTCGTGAGTATGCCATGGGGAGTGATGCTTGCAATTCGTGTTTTTGTAATGACAGCATGCGTGCTTTTTTGTGGCTCCTAAAAATCTCTAATAATAACGGAGACTATCAACAGAATAATTACTCCAGGTACACAAAGCCGAAACATCCAATAAAGCACAACACTTAAAAAATATATATTTGGTCGAATATATTGTAAATTACAAAGCATTGGTAGCTTATGAGGAAAACAGGTGAATTACATTGATTTTTCGGACAAAGAACCCTTAATTAATATTGATTCCTGGTATTTATAGCTATGCAGTCATTAGCCTGTGTGCCATATGTAGAAGGTACGACATGCACAGTGAATGGGAAAAAAATACTTTCAGCACTTGTTTTACGTACATGTTTCACATAGAAATTAAATGTTACATGGAAACGTTACAATCGCTATAATTGCTGATGAGTATGATTGCTCAAGAGCAACGTGTAGCTGGACTCTAATTTCATTACTGTAACTCACGCATGCATCGTACATTTATGTTCATTAAGCCTACATGCTCTGATAATTATTCTTATAAAACATGAATATATTTGTCCTGAAAGAACCCTTATTTTTAGAACATAAATCTTGTGCTTTAACAAAAAACAGTTCATTACGCAAATAATACACCGTGAAGATATTTTCTTTTAAGCTCGGCACAAATTTTACAATCATCTACATTTATGAATCTGAAATTTGGCAGGCTGGCATTGTAACTTGTTAAATAATGGATTTGATTTTAACTTTCACGATTTCCACTGTATGTGAATTTTAATCCCAATGAATGGGCTGTGCTGGCGCAGGCCTGTGATCTGCCACCTTGATGGTGGGTTAAGTCGATCATGCAGAGATCACAGTATCCGTGAAACACTCACCTGCAGGATATTTTTTTGGCTTTTATAAGACAGTACATTAAGTAGCCCGCTGACACATCAGTATGACATTTCAAGAGTTATCCTCGGATTTGTGTGGGGTTTCTGCATGCCTTTCAGTTTTCTAAATAGAAGAAAATACCCAAAATACTCAATCAGGAATTTATGTGCAGTGAGGCTTTTCGGAGCAAACTAGGTATGTTATTCTTAATAAAGGTTCTTACGTTAGATCGCGTGTTGCATACTCGAAATGAAGGACGTGGGCAGGTGCTCCAAATCGAGGGCAAACACATTTATTGTGGTTAATCTTTAAAATGCAACATCACGTGTGTCACACAAAGCAATCTTCACCGAGTCGCCATTAACCACGTTACTGGTGTACACGTCTGGTTAATAACAGTTTTCTCTTAAACCCAATTCTACTACTGATAAATCATCTTTGTCTTTGACAATAACATTTACACTTCACTATTGAAATATTGCTTTAATCCTAAGCTGTATGTCTATCTATAATATCTACTTATATCGGTATCTTACACCCATTATCTGTGCTGTATGTGTACAGTATACGTAATGCATTTGTCAAAATTGTACAACTTACTACTTTACATGTGTTATATTCTCAATAGCATTGCAAGTAGTCATACTCTGGGTGCATGAGCATGGTTATAGAATAAACAGTATTAGGGTTAGAGAATTAAGAATTACAAGTATTAACTACAGTACGTCATCCTTTACAATGCACAGTGCTAAAACCCCTCCAATTGAATTCAAACTCTTTGGTTCTTTTGGTAAAGACACGTAGGTAGAAATCAAATAAAACAAATCACGACGTTTCGATCGCATCACAAGCAATCCTCATCAGATGGAACAACCACAGCAAGAAAAAATGCCGAAGTAGGCGAGAGAGCTGCCGTGGCAAGAGGTTATATAGGTAAGAAAGGGGGGAGGAGCAAGGGGGGAGAGAGAGAGGGGAGGGGTGTGGAGCAGGGGAAGAGTAGCTGCGTGAACGAGGCTGGGGGGGGAAGTAGGCGGGGCTAGAAGTGGGAAGCTGAGTGTGAGACACGGGGGGAAAGTAACTCGGAATAAGTATAACCCGTAAAAACAAAGTTTTTCACTATAAATCCTTTATATGCGTGGCGGCTAGAGTCCTCTCGTCCTCTGGCTTGAGATGGCTGCCACCTATGGGTCAGATGATTGTCTGCCAGTATTAAGCAATTGGTAATTAAATATTTAATTTGTTTTCCCTAAACAGTGTAAAACTTCAACCGAGAAGATGGATACAAATTGAGCAATTATTGGAAGGATTTTATTAACCAGGTAAAGCCTGAACTGGTTGTGGTTGTTTCCATCATGCCCGCCGGGTACTAGTCTCTTTTTCAGCTTCCCACTTCTAGCCCAAATTTTGGAAAAAAAAATTCACGAACATTAATTGTCTCGCACAACGAGTCTGTGTGCAAAATGTCAGCTCGATTGGATCACGGGAAGTGGGTTAAAAAACGACTGAAAGATTTGCACGGTCGTAAGCAAGCAAGCACGCAAGCACGCAAGCAAGCAAGCAAGCGAACTTAATATAAAGGATTTAAAAATAGACTAGTACCCGGCGGGTATGGTGGAAACAACCACAACCAGTTAAGGCTTTACACGGAGGGAAAGTAACCTTTGATAGTTTGTTCATGAAGCAATCCAGATATATAAACATAGACCTAACTTCAACCGAGAAGATGGATACAAATTGAGCAATCATTGGAAGGATTTTATTAACCAGGTAAAGCCTGAACTGGTTGTGGTTGTTTCCATCATGCCCGCCGGGTACTAGTCTATTTTTCAGCTTCCCACTTCTAGCCCCGCTTACTTCCCCCCCAGCCTCGCTTTCCCCTTCCCCTGCTCCACACCCCCCTCTCTCGCTGCCCCCTTGCTCCTCCCCCCTTTCTTATGTGTTGCGATCGAAACATCGTGATTTGTTTTATTTTATTTCTACCTACGTGACTTTACCGAAAGAACCAAAGAGTATGGATTCCTACAGTCACGAAAGCTTCATAACAATTCAAAGCCAAGCTTGAAGTCTAGAACAAGTCGAGAACAAGTCTAGACTATTTCTATAACAATAAAAAACAACCTTTGGGTCCTTTATCTGTGAGATGCAACAGCACGTGTGTCACAGCAATTCTTGAACCGAGTCGCCATAAATCATGTGACTGGTATACAAGTGCGGTTATTCAATAACCCTGCCAGCCACCTACAGGCCCAACTCAGTCATCACATGCTGCTGTACACACATGCATTGATGCACTGCACAGCACATCAGGACTTTCACAAAACCACACTTTACTCCCTTGTTGCACAAGGAAATAATTAAAAGAGTGGTCCATTCCTAATGTGCCACTTAAGTATAAATGTGTCGCAACCCTCCTCAATCCGACACGGCCAATCAGTAAGAAATGTGTCACGTTAACAAAACGCCAATGAGTTACTTCTTCAGCCCACCGGTGTGTTTGTTAATATGTCACATTTCTTAATGATTGGCCGTGTCAGGTTGTGGAGGGTTGCGACACATTAACACTTACGCGATCTAACCAAAAAACCTATAAATAATACTGGTCGTGAAAACCTACGTGTTAAACTAAGTACGTTATTGTTTTTTCGCTCAACCGCGATGGTTTCTACAAACAGTTACTGGATCATGTGTGTGGTGTTGCGTCCCCTCGCAGGCTAAACTGACTTTCCGCAAAGAGCTGCTGAACTCGCTGGGGTTAAGCTTTCTGCAATCTCCCCTCTCGGCGGCCGCTGCTGCCTTCCAGGCCACCAATGTCCACTACACGGTGGGACTGCTCAGAGCGTGATTTGCCGCTCACAGATGAACCACAGCATTGCTGTGCAAACACTGAAACTGTTACATTTGACGTTTTATTTAAACGCCAGAAGAACTATGAACAGTTAGACTTGGCTGTATTTCTACACGCCAATGGGCGGCATGAGATAAATAGTATTAATAATAATGTTCAGACCTTTATCAAGACACTTCTGGATGACATTTTGTCTTGAGGGTTTTTTGATCATACTTCACTACACTGGTCAGGGGTGTGGCTGCAAAACAAACTCGGGTTGTCAGGTTCATAGCGCAATGTGCTATGAACCCCACAAGTAACCACCCTCCTCACCCCCCGCAAGATCACAAGTGTTGGCTTAATACATGAGTTATAACGCAATTTGATATTTTACCATAACCAATCACAGGCACAGTTCTCCGTGAATGTTAGCTAAGTGCTGTACAATTTTTTACATCTTTTAGCATGTGTATAGGCCGCAAGTGCTTGTGTTTGTGCACTTGGTGAATGTTTCATAACAGCATGCTAACACATTTTCTAGATTGTTGTGAATTTTGCAGTGTGCCTTTATTTTTACACATATGCGTGAAGGCTAGTTAATTTTTATTATTATATATAATGTTCAATAATATAACGTTTCCTTCACACAATAATTCGTCTTATATTTAAAAAAAGACATTTGTCAATAATGCTTCCTTAAAGGAAAACATTGTATAGAAAATAAATATTGTGTTATATTTAAATCAGTACAGTTTTGTTAGAAATTACTTTGCGTATTGGACACTAATTAGTTGTTATTGTGTGTAATATATATTGAATATACACGAGGGAGGGATTGAAAAATCTGTGGCCCACATTTCATGAGAGTGAAGCAGCGCTCTGACATGTGGACGCCAGGCATGTGTGAAAAATGTATTTATCGCTTCCCTACTCTCTCCGCTGTCTGTACATGAACCCTGATGCCAGCTCTCCTTCCAAGCCCGACCAGCCTACTGTCATCAATTTCTTACTTCCCCAATCTCCATTTTTGGCCAACCATCAAACAAAGATGGAGACGTCTTCACGTCCATCGTTCTGTGCATATCAACCCACGAGTTCATTTAGAAATGCATTATATAATAATGAAATGCAGCCACTCGACTGCACATAAATCCTTTACAATTCGGAAGTGCTACATATTTTGGTCACTGCGCCGCGCACTTTCAGATGCGCTTTTGCAGCCATCTGAAACTCTCTTCCTTCCGATATTAGAAAGCCATTGGAGCTATGCACTTTAAAATCTCGATTGAAAACGAATTTCTTTAGGCCTGCTTTTTGTGTTTAGTTTAGTCCTTCCCCCGCAACTCTGGTTAGCATAATTGGCTACGTATGGTGCAATAGAAGTTCAACATAATACATGTACACTTCCTAACAGTGAAAGTGTGTAGCATTACCACGTGAGCATGCTTGTATCGGGAAGAAACATTTACTAATATTTCAGACAATTTTTATGTACTGTGTACGGTGGTTTAACGGCATTAATATAGTGAGGGTTTAGAGCAAATCTTGGTGAAGCGATATGAAATGTGAGTTTTACTCAGTGACAAATATAACTTGAACTTTGAACCGACAGGGATTAGAAACGAGTATTAGGCGGCCCACAGCAGGAGAGCCACAGCAGGAGAGCCAATCACTTTTCGTCCTAATGAGCATTCATCATCTGGGCAGGGTGGCCTAACAATGCTTGTCAGTGGGTCAAACTTACCTCGAAAGAAAGAAAAATTACACTGCATACCCACGTACGGTACGTTGCTGTGCTTAGTGAGCTTTTCTTCTGCAGGCAAAGCTGGACTTCCACGAGGACCTGACCAGGTTACCATCCGCCATGACAACAGGTTACCTGCCGTCACCCCTGGCGGCTGCCACTGCTGCGGTTGCCATGAGATCACCGCTGACTTTCCACGCGGCGCCCGCCGCTGCCGCCAGCCTCTTCCCAAGCCACGGTTTGGCACAAGCCCTGCTGAGGCCAGCCCCGGGGCCCATGCGGAATTCTCACGGGCCAATAATTTTCACCCCCTATTGATCCTAATTCATCTTGACCGAGGTTGGTTCACGCTCTGCTCATTCCAGCGGACCGCCTTTCCCTTCTTGTTTGAGAATCCGAGGATTTGGTTACCTGTACGGCGTCGCAAATACCACTACGTACAGCAGTGCGACTGGCATCTTGCTCGCACAGGTCACACCCAATGACTATCCCTGACGTTCAGAACACATGAGAAAAGTGCAACTTGTGGAGAGTGGAACTTTTGAATTGTATGCTCCTTTGGTCCCACGACCCTTAAATCTTACTGGAGATTAACATATCTACAGGCTGCAATGCAGCATGGAAGTCTGTCTGGTGTGTGCCAAGTGATGGTGCGTGGCACAGCGTGTGCATATGACTGATCCGTGGACAGAGGTCACAAGGAGCCATGATGATTTCTCTTGGGTGTGCCTTGCTCAGATATGTCTGCTTTTGTCAATATGCCAACTGATCCTGGGACTTCTTATAGAGCTGCAAAACGAGTGTGTTGTCCAGTCACACAAAACGACTGCTGTTGTGTTTTCTGCTGAAATATACTTGTGCAAAATTTGAATGTGATCTGCATAGCTGTGTTTCGCTGACTGTACCATTTGCAAGACTGTGGCGAAAAGATATCCATGTTTACAGTTTTTCACAGCTTATCCTGCAACCTTATATGATGTCTCTGTGATTCTATTGTACTGTATTGTAAAAAACTACTCGAGCTTTCCTGCCATACCAAATGACCTATTACAACGAGTTGTGCTACTATGGTGTCTGGCAGATGACGTGCAAGACAAGGTGACATTGCATATCCATCAAACATTCTCATATTTGCTTCATGCACCAAGAGCAGGAAATGACAGTGAACCCATGGGAAAGTGCATATACGCTGCAAAATACGACAATGTATACAGTACTCCAGTGTACCTCAAGGGAAGTTCTATGCTGAAAATATATTCATTAAATTTCTGGAACATGTTGCTGAATATAAATGTAATGGAAATACTGTTTAAATTCGGCATTGCATGATATGACAATAACAGAGGTATTGTTAAATCGTCCAGTCATTGAGAACAAATTCATCAAATTGGCCACTTCCTCGAGCCATGACGGGAAGATTAATGTGTGTAGGGACCCACACAACAAGCGGTGGTGGCTCCTGGTTTGTCTCAGAATACTCGATCTGAGCGTAAAACTGCATTGGCAAAAGCACACTAAGAGATGTCCAAAATGACTGCTTCTGAAGTCATAAAGAAATGCAAGGTGTTCTGCTATTCTATTAATCTCTTAATGTTATTTTACGTTGTTCATTTGGCTGCTATGAGTCGCTGCGTGTTGCATACATTTGGTAATGGAGCAGATGCATTTCTTGACAGACTTTCACCATTACTTTTGTCAACAATAATATGTGTAATATAGAATTTCAACATAATGTGCATTTAATTTGTATTGGCAAACAATGGAATATTCCAACCATATAAATTATCAATTGCAATGTTATGTACGTTTGTGTGTTGCGAGCAACGTTATTGTATATTGGGCATTTTCATCATCAAATCGCACTGGAATAAGCCGGTGCTTTGCTCAGTCACTGCAATAAATAACGTGTCATTTTTATTTCCATAATCTGTCTGCGTCTTATTTTGTCTCGTGCTTTCCCATCTCGTGATCTTTGTTTTATTTTGGCAATGGTCATACATTAAATAATGTGCCATCGTTGTCGACACAAATCCACATCTACCAAGGTAAAACTCAGAAGCATGAATTTGCGTTGACCGTATTTCAATTTGGCAAGGCTTTGCTCTATTAACTTCGAGAGTTTGTGCAGCTTTTTAGCATAGATGTCACTTCGTTTAAGATTTGTACAGCTAAAATACATATTACCCAACTGTTATTGTCACTTGCAAAGATAACTGATAGTATGGCGCACGTAAAATGTAAATGTTTGCTCCATGTACATTTTTTTATTTTGAACATGAAGCGATGTTTTTATTTTATATTGCATTTTTATAATTTTCCTTGCTAAAAAATAGTTATTTGATGCAGTTTGGATGTTTTGTTTAATTCAGCTTTTTGCCAGGAATTTAAGTTTAGCCACAGTACACATTACATATTTTCTTCAGTTAATTTATTTTACAGGTAAAATATGAAACAATTTCATACTTTAATGACCAAAAGAAACCACTGAAATCCTACTACACATGTAGATGTAACATTTAAAAAACAGCACAATGTAATATGTATGCTTATTAAAATACTTTGCTGTATATCAAAAGCAGTAATGAATGTTTATATTATACATGAAGATGCATTCAGCATGTTTCCCACAATTTAATTATATTGTTATTAGCTGTAACTTTACACACGAGTACTGATAATCTGCTTTGGGGTAAATATATTTTTTCCAATGCAATAGGGTTTTTGTTATAATTACAAGACGCCACTGGCGTGTGTGATATTAATTAAATTGTATTGACGCTGAGCTGTTTGTTTTTGCCTTCATCCTACAGTTTTGGCAAAACAAAACAAGCCGTACTAAAAGTAAATGAAACAGAAAATCAATTGGAGAGAAAAAATATGTAAATGCAATCTGGTCTTTCGATATCCAAGGGTAATGTCTCCCAGGAGGGCAGTGAACGCATTTTGTGAATGAACCCCGCCTTTAAATCGATGTTGTTGAACAGGCGAAAGGCATTTTTTTGTTACAGCACCTGGCTTGGTTGTGTACTGCGAGGATTTGCGTTTCGGGACAGTCCAGATGTTCGAGATTATATGCTGACAAAAGCCCATTACGGTATTGTACCTTTCATTATGACATCATGTGCAACTTATTATTGGTGAAGATGCAATATATAAAAAAAAAATTATAAGATACCATTATGCAAATAGGCATTGTGTTTTTTTCACAACCACAACATTCTAGTGTTAATAATATTAGATCGCAGTTTGAAGAAAATAATAATTAAAGTTTCTTCATATATTGGCCATCATTCTGTAATTTTTCTTTCGGTGAAATGATAGCCACTTTATAGAAAATCAGGAACAATTAATGACATTTTACGATTCATGTGCAGTCTATTACTTCTCATACCACAATTATGAGGTGGAATGTGATCCACTAACCATTGCATGTACACTGATGGATTGCAGGTTTTATGTAAACACAGCAGGCAACCCATTTCAAGCTGAGTCGATCTAGGAGAAGCTTAGCCCAGGTTCTGACACCACATTCCACTGATGAATGTATGCTGTGCCAAGTAATATATAGACACAGGCATACACAAAGATACAAAGAATAAACGCTTTTAGTCATACAGACTTTGGGCAAATAATGTTAGCAAGCACCTGTTATGGCCGGAACGAAAGGTTGGTATGGCCTGAAGTATTCCCGTCCACCTTTGTCTCCCCAACACTGATGTTTAAACATCCACGCCAGTTTCTTTTTTGAGGCTGAATTGGCCTAGGGGAGGACCAGGACCAACTGAGGAAAATCACTACTGATGTTAGGCATAACTGAGAGTCTAAAGGAGTGAGTCTGAGATATATGGAGCCAGAGTATGTCAGCAAGGTGAGCATGCTCACATCAGCACTCACGGCTCCCGCAAGCTACTGATTGTCTTCACGTGGCTGTGCAAAATGCGACTCTACCCATTCCAGCATTTCAAAAAGGCCCAATACTGTTCAATCAATTAGGAATCACAAAAAGGTTATCCAGTTGACATCGACATTTTGAAAGAAAGTGTGAAAGTTTTGAAAGAAAGTACTATTAAAACTGTGATCGTCAAAACAACGGGTGTTTATGCATTTATGGACATTTTATGTGAGTATTTAACGACGTTATATGAGCGAAACGCGGTAAAACACGATCAGCAATTTAAACTACAGTATACATTTCAAGGCCTGTATATTAAACATAATGTGGGCAAAAAAAATATTCCTCCATCACTCATTTAAAATACAATACACGTTCACACCAATCAGTGGTGACTTCCTATACACACAAAACATACAAACTTCATAGAAGCAGGCTTGCCACGAAATAGGTGTGACATTTTGATGCATTTGACAGTGAGTGTAGGCATGGAAGCAAGAAAAGATTAAATCGCACCTGATTCTTGCCTACCATGATTTTTTTTAAAGCTATACCTAGTGAATGTACAGTAAAATAAATGTTTGTCATATTTAGCGAATAACAATGGTGGGACAAGGTTATGTGTTTCAAAACATATTTGTTAATGTACCAAAAATTTAATCGTTCGTGTAAAATGCTCTTTAAATGACCCAATTAAGTGGATGACATTTTCCTCCCCAAAGTAAATTGTGCAATTTTCTTTGAAATCCACGTGACAGCTCTGGCGGTCCTCGCAGGGCTAAATTGGTTGCTGCGTCCTGCTGTTCAGTTGACAGACGAACGCGTCTGCTGTTGACGCACTGAATGCTGGCTTTCAGCGTGTGTGCTATAAATAGCACACCTACGCGGCTAATGTGCCATAAAGTGCCTGTGCGTGACACATGCTGCACATTGAAATGCTCCATTCCTCTCATGTTGCGGTTATTACAATGGGAATTATGTGCAGTGTTCATGTCTAGGGGATGAGATTTGAAAGTTATTCCACTATTTATGCTTTCTGCTACTCAACACGCCTCTTTTGTTCAAGCAGAAAGGACGCGGCGATAGAATGCCATTGCCTAATTCCGCTCCACCATATGCAATCCTGTAGGATAGCTGGTACTGCAGTGCAAGGCAGTGTTGCAACCTTCTTCAGCGATCCCTCGCAGTCCAGGATGATTGTCTTCCGTAAATGGTTTGGCTGACGAGGCCAATCTGGGATCGTCAGACTCCTTCGCAGCTCGGGCGCGTGTTTCCGAGCAGGGATGGGTGGCTCAAGGTTGTTGATTCGGTCCTGCTGTTCCCACTTTTCCTCCCATTGTCGTAAGGTTTCTCATAGAAAGCTGACATCGACAATGACATTCGACATCACCTCAAATGTGCAAGCGCAGCCTTCAGTTGCTTGAGGAAACGGGTAGAACAGGTGTTCGAAGATCACGACAACCACCCAAGCAGTTATGAGACAAAATAAGCGTTGTTGTGAAAGGGCATTTGTGGTGCCACGACCGCGGAGCAACTCCGCAAGCGCCGAAATTCCCTCCCAGCCCCCGCACTAAACACACACCTGCACGCAGTCCACCCAGGTAGTGCCCTGGCGAGGGATTGCCTGGCCCATCGGATTTTAATCCGAAGGGCCCCTAGAAGGAGAGTCCCACGGTTTCCCGGTGCTAGGAGATTGGACAACCTTCACAGGACAGGTTACATTGTGGTGCTCCTAAATTGGATTAAAATTGTATGGGCGCAGAAAGAAAAGGTTCCCTGGGCCAACTGCAATGAGGTACAACTCAAAGGGGAGAACGGAGGATGGAACATTGAGCAAGAAGGGCACAAGAGCCCTTCCAGACAAAGGGACAATGAGTGGTCACCGCCGTGGAATCTCTACCAACGGCTCTGGACCTCCAATAGAGATAACCATTTCTTATTCGAGGAAAGAAACACGTAAACACTATGTACAATACAAGATTAAACTGGTGAACAATTTGTTAAACTTACAAGCAACGTCACGCTTTCTGCATTCTCAACATAACCTTCAAATAATGCCATGTACCATAGTTGATTTCATCAGGATGAAAACGGAAAGCTATGAAATAGTGATAACCGCACAGATCTGAGCTACACACAAATGTACTGCCGACATTTATTCTTAGATTAGCACGGTTGGTTACATATGGTGTGAAAGAAGTTCAACATACATACATAATACTATATTTAACAAATAAAAATCGCCAATAGTATTTCAGGCATTATGAATCGACATACAGAGCAGTAGTTGCACCGATTCAGAGAGAGTGGGACTGTTCATACATTTTTCTCAGTAACATATAACACATTTACACATAGTAATACAGATTTTCAATAGTTTAGGACCAATCGCAACGGCCCACTGAAATAAATGGTAGCACTACAATAAAACTTATGCATGTTCATTTAAGCTCATAGCAACCACAGCCACTTTCTGGTAGTGAATTGGGAAAGTGCTATTTGGGAATTTGTGTATGTCCATTGCATGCTTCACAAATGTCAAGTCTTTAACAGGCACATACTGTGAAGTGTAGGAATGAGTGTGAGGGTTCACGTCCCATTTTTAAATGCTAATCTAGCCTTTACATGTATTATTTGCATAATACTGGGCAATGACATTGACTTGTGTTTGTTCTGCAAAGCAATAGGATGCATTTACATAGTAGAAAATGTAATTGGCTAATGGCGGTTGTGAATGTGCATATTTATACAGTGCAGTGATACATGTATTATAATTAGTACATTTGTAGTGAGCGACTTCCGAGACACGTCGAGTAGAAGGCGATACTATACGTAATACAGCTACACATAGGCGATCCTAACACATAGCCTATCTCCGGCATACATTACGCTAGCTGTCCGACGAGCACAGCGATGGCGATGGAGAGGGTCTTGCAGAAGAACAGCCACGTGGTCGGAGACGAAGAGATGACGACGAGCAGCGACGCAGCCAGGACCCAGGACCCGCAACAGCACCCGAACCT